TTCTTGGAGTAATTTACCAGTAGAAACCTTTCTCGCACTAATAGCGGATGATCTCAACCTGAACCAATAATCCTCAGTGATTTCTCTAAAATTGTTGAATATCTGCCTCCCATAACAAGTTGCAACACTTTCAGGATGAAACTGAATCAAAAACGTTGTTTAGTCCATACCATAGTAGAGCGATTGCAGTGACAAGCAAAAAAACAAAACACACCTGCACACCATAATGAGGCCTGGTAGAGTGCATGATGCCCATGAGGACTTTTCTTCTCCGCACCTCTTCAGCATCACTGGCAACCCTATAGCTTCCGTTGTTACAACTTTTTGAGAACAAGTTAACAGAGTTCTGTTGGCTAAGCTGACTCTCATAAGCATCGAGGACAACATCAGACTTTTGGTGGTCTAGAAAGGAAAGTGTATCGGTGGAAAATGTCCACGCTATAGGTAGGAGGTCTTTTGGAAGTGAATCTGCATCTATAACAAGAGAATGATACCGAACCACCTGCAGCAAGTCATAACTCCAGGAGTTCATGGTGATGGTCATATTCAATTTTATAGCCACAGCATAGTTGCTACAAATCATAGCAACTCCAACCTACTACTAAATTACACTAACATGGAAGTTTGACAAGTATGAGGGGTAGAGATAGACTCAAATTACTTTCGAATGAGGTAGTGAAAAATGATAAAATAATTTATGGTTTAATAGAACATGGCATTTGATAAGCAAAATGCTAATACAAGATTAGTGGGGGCAGAGCTTTCTAAATTTGAGTTTGAGTATGGAATTTTGAGAAGTTATGAGAAGCTGAATTCAGAAAAAAAAAATGCATTTTTCATTCATCATCTTGAATCCTAGAAAAAAACCCAAGAATTCCGTGAAGTTTCAAACAATGAGCTATCACAGAGATTATATCTAACTGAGTCACCTCCATTTTATGTCAACTTCAAATGTATTTTATCAGTATAATGTCTAAGACGTAATGTATTCTGAATTCCTGGAGTATGTTGAGTCCTATATAGCATGAAAAGAGTTGTTTTAGTATTATTTAAGGGCATGACAACTGAAAAGGCCAAAAAAGAAAAAGGAGAAACATAGCCTTTGAATGAGAAATGCCCTGCCACATAAGTACTTTGAGCTCAGAGAGTCACTAAAAAAAAAAGCAAGTGCACAATTAGCTACCCAAAAAAAGGAGGAAAATAGCAATAGCTTGCTTGTCCTTCGAAGGATTTCACAAATAATAGTTTAACAATCATTTGTTGATTGTATAGCTTTCTTCCTCACAATTGGGACATTATTTTATTTACATTCAGGGACTGAAAAATATAGTCATATCACTATTAATGGAAGTGTGCAGGGAGGAGCAAAACAAATACACCAAACTAACTTTTAATGAACTGGCAATTTTGGAAGGGTTTATCAGCAGGGCATCTTCATCCAATAAAAGTACTTGCAACATCACAAAGATAACATTAAAATAAGTTGTAGAAGTTTATTAGATCCTTAGTGATGTACTTACTACTAAGAAGGAAAGAAATATATGACCTTAGAGTCAGCAAAAATTGTCAACAAGCTGGGAGGGAAGAGTGGTGCTCTAGGTTTTTAGTAGGGAAACACTTGGGAATTCGAACAACCAAAAATCAGGACAACAACAATAAAGTTCAGTATGTGCATTCTATTCAAGAATTCAGACATTGTAAACAACATCTCCAAAGATGTGAACAGTAATCTTTTACAATAAAGAGAAAAGAAAACGAACTTCAACATATGACCAAGACAATTTTACGCATTAATCATGGGTTTGATTTCTTTGGATCCTTTCAACCAAAACAGACCATTCAACCCGATCTAACCAAAACTTATCATTTCAGTAGAGTGGTGAAAAACCAGATGAATTCAAGGACAATATTCAGTGGCAGGATCCAACCAAAACTTATTTAGTTGGTAGGGCCGTAACAAAACCAATGGATTCAATGATACTATTCAGTGGCAAGATAATGGATCCAAGTGTTGTTCTTCATAAAATATAAAAAGGTCTTTTTTTCGCCCCCATTTCGCAAACCATCAATAGATGCTCTTCAAGAGGGAGGCTTTGTATGCAAATGGAACAAAGAGTTTCAAATTTGGTTCAACTTAACAGAAACTCTGGTCCCTATGTATGCAGGACAATATTTGATACACTCTCCCACCAGGGTTACCCAAACAATTTGGTAAAAGGTGGCCCCTGCAAAGGTTGGAGGCTAAAACCTGAAGCAGAACCACAAAAGGTCAATAATAAATTCAAGGTCTTCTACATGTATTCATACTGACCTTAAATCCTGAATTTCTGCCGGAAGGAATACCATGAAACAGTCTGCATCCACTATGCTGAATTTCACTGTAAAGGGCAAGAGAAAAGGAAATGGGCAAAATGCATCATGAATCATGATCAAATCAAAGTTCAATCAGAAATTATACAAATCATCCGAAAGCCAAAAACACCAAGATCTGAATAAGTTTTGGTGAGAACCAAGATCCAAATTTATAATGTTTTTTTAAGAAACGTGATTCTTGTCAGAGGTTAACTTCAGTTAACAAGAAGGACACCCAAATATGAGCTACATGACCTTACAACTCATATCTGCCATACCTCAAACGTCCATGGACTGGTTCAGTTGCGTGGACAACTTGAGCACCATGCACATAACCCAAAGCCTGTAGAATCAACTAAGATGCTCAGGTCCAATGTACACATCAGATAAAAATTGTCATAAGATATGTAGCCTTAGAACAAACCCCCCCCTCCCCCCACCCAAAAAAAAAAAAAACTAAAAAAGTACTGTTAGTATGATGTATACAGAGACTACAAGTGTAATAAACAATATGGAACCTTAAAAATAATGGTGCAAGATAAATAAAGGAGGAAATGCTACCTAGATCCATAAGACATAATTGAATTGTCATATCATATTTTACTACAACACTTGTTATTTCTCTTGCAATAGAAATTTCCGCCGTAGCTTAATTTAAATTTGGAGATAATCAAGATTTCAAAGCTAAATGAAAATTTTTCTGGTACCTTCAGGGGAATTTTCAGTATCTATTTAAGAGTAAGTTAAATGATTAGTATTAATGAGCACCATGTAAATCCAATATTTTAAGTCAATGAAAATTCTCCTAGTAGTGCTTCGTCAATTTTATAGCTACACAAACAGGGCATGAGAGCCAGTTGTTATCCTAATCTCTTCTTCCCCTCTATAATCTCTCACACAAATTGACTATTACCACTATACCAAAAACATCGGGAAATACCTGGTGTCCAAGGCAAACACCCAAAATTGGGATATCCCTGCACTCAAGCAGCAGCCTGAGACATATTCCTGCAAGTTTGAAATAAAGTGATTGGCTACTAATAGAAAGCAAGCAAAACTTTGCAGTGTTACAAACTAATCTTGTTACCTATGGCAATGACAATGTTCTACCGAATATCAAGGTCTGATGTAGAAGGTGCACATTGTCGAGGCTCAGTATCTATGTAAGCATCACTAATTTATATTCTTCTTCCCTCTACTGGACAAGATATAATCAGTCATGCTCAGATCAGACTGGACTATATCTTATAACCGTACCACACCAACGGTGATAATTACACATCTTTTTAATCTTTGCTATGCACTATTTAAAATAAACATCAGCATGTGGAGAAAACAATGCGCCAGCACAGTTCTGTTATCCATACCTATATCTTCTGGGCAAGTTGGAGAGCCAGGACCCGGTGATATGACAACATTGTCAAAGGCTTTTTCTTCATATAAGGAATGGAAAAGGTTTTCCCATGTCCACTCATCATTGCGAATCACCACAGGCGGCACTGACATAGTAAAAAAAACAAACAGAAACATATAAAAACAACAGTCATGACCAGAACAATGGTAAAACTTCTCATTCATCCAGCGCCCAGAAGCAACTTTGGTATTCTTTGTCAGCTCATCAGGATAGACCCATGAAATTGCGAACAGAGTGTTACATGCTTTTATCAACACAAAAAAAGAGAATTGGCCCTCACAATCCAATCCTTTGAGTATTTAAATGAATATATTTACCATCTCTAGAAATATAATAGAGAAAGCTTTCCTGTTTGCAGAACAGAACAGCAATTCCAAAGTGAAAAGTAGAATATTTGATTATAACATAAGGAAAATGTAACTTTCCACAAAGAATAAGGAAAATGTCTGTTCTCATTCTTGTCCAAATAAAGTGGATTAGGAAAAGAGAGTCTTTGCATTACATTAAGAGAAAGGCAAAAAATGCACATGCTGTGAAACACAGAGGATGGTCTCACTCTCCAACTAATGTTTTCCACACTGTACGCTGTTTAAATTTTTCTTAACACCAAGGCGAAACAAGACCAAACCAATGTCATGTGCTTCCAAATGATTCTCCAGTGCAACAGCTATCCACTGACTAACATGAAAAGAACCACACTGGGGTAGGGGGATAACGAAGAGCAAACAAGTAAAACATTGGCTTGGCATCAAGTCTAATAAATGAAGCAGCAACAGACAGATTACAATCAACAAAGCAGTCATCACATGGTGCATGCCTTTTTTATAAAATTTCATACCTGGGGATATAGATATATCTTCCCAGAATTCACTAAACTCTCGACGACTCTCGATATAGGTAAATCGATCGCAAACGGGGTGAGTTCGAGATCCAGATCACCAAAATATACGACCTCTAAATTGTAATACTAACTCTAAATCAATTCGCTTTGAAACATATAGAAAAAATATAAAATATATATTAACTAACTACGTGTATATAAATTTATAATTATATACTATTTTAGATAAGAAAATTGAGCATAAAAGTAAGATAAACTGGAAACCGACTTAGTGTTTATGGATGTTCTATGATATATAATTTTGTATAGTAGTGAAAACGATCTACATAAGAGTTCCAAAATAAATTGCAACCCAAAATACCGTACCAATTAAGCCTAACTTCTATATAGCATTCTCACATCGTATGGATCCCGGTTCATTTTATAACTTCTATATAGCATTATCACATCAATAGTGATAGCATGAGTCAAAACAATGCTAACAAAGTAGTGACATGCACTTCACCAAATATATTCCGGTGAATACACTTTGCACCTTGAAAAAAACAATTATTCCCAATTTACACCCAAAAGACTAAAATTCCCTCATTACACCTCAATCATATGAAACAGTAGCAACATATTTTGAAACCAAAGTTCATTGTTTTTGTCCGACAATTTTTTGCTACATTTTTTTTTTATATATTCCCATTTATTTATGCAATTACTTGTATATTACTCAATTTTAAATATTTTACTTGAGAATTATATACTTAATTTTATAAAACAGACCACATTATTACCTTTTTTTTTTATGAATAAGAGTGTAATGTAAAAATTTAAGCGTAGATTGAGAACTTGAAGACCTTTCAGAGTGCATAATTTCATTCGCCCAATATTTCATTTGCCTACAGCTACTAATGAAAATTGTGAATAACATATAGCGAAGTTAAATGATGGATTAATGTCCCATAATCAATGCCTTTTCAAAAACTTATAATGGACCCCTTCCTTTCAACCCAAAAAAAAAAAAAAAATCTGGTCAACCAATTACCGGAGACCCAAAACCAAAAGAAACCCAAAATAGTAGGAGATAGTTGCATACATGCCACACATTTCCAAAACAAAGCATAACATAAAATTACGTACTTTGACAGTTTTCCCATCCTTCATTACATATCTCTTATTGTAAGCATTCTAGCAGGATTTATTAACTTTTTTAATGTGGATCATGCGTCAACATTATTGAGTACATTTCACAGGCGCTCATAAGCCAAGGATTGCAACGCATAAATTGGTCGAGATAATTGAACAAACTAACATTTGGCATAAAATTAACAGGAAAGTCAAGTTTGAACAAAAGAACACGTAGAGAACCAAACGTGGGAGGCAATGCATAAGAATTAGCTAATCATATACATCTAAAAATTGGAAATAAAAAAAGGCAATAAGTTACAAATAGTGATTTTGGGGAGAATAAATTAAGGAAATTTCGATTATGAACAAACCAGAATGTGCATGAGTAATACTAATCTGTGCGTGTGAATGTGCGTGAGGGAGAGAGAGAGAGAGCTTACACCCATTGATGACAGACAACTCTTGGTAGATATTGTATGTGTAACTATCATAGTTATCAATCAACAATGTCCGCACAAATTCCAACTTCTGGCCCGTCTCCAGCCGTTTCTTCCCTAAATGCGACCCCTCCAAGTGTTCAGGCACCAATTGGCTACAATGCACCATTTTTCTAGTGCCGTGACTAAGCAGTTGACCGTTGTCTTTCTTGCTGAAGCCACCAATCGTAATACACGGTTTTGGGACTAAAAATTTCATGCTTTTGCTTCGTAAATTTTCGAAACATATAGATTTGTTCTCAGACGGAGACGAGCGCAATGTCAAATCCATTTTCGTTTAAAAGGAAGTACGAAAAAAGTACTTCCAAATCCTCTGCTTTTCAAAGAAACTTCTGCAAAATTCAAAAGCAAAAATAGCAATAAAAAGCGATTAGATACCTTAGAAATCTCTATGATAAATGGAAGTAGGAGTAGTTAGGAGTTTGCGAACCTCGGGTATTTAATGGCGGGAATCGAGAAGAAGCTCAGCTCGTAGATGGGCTGTGATGGGAAGTCGGTTGGGCAATTTGGAGAGGGAGGGAGAGAGAGAGAGGCGGAAAGCTAACTATATATAATGGGAAACGACCAACCCCTGTGACCCCCCGTCCACATGTGAGGCCCACGTGTTTTAGTTTTGGATTTAACTCTTTTTGGTTTTTTTTTAAATGTTATTTTTTTTGTTAAATAATTTAAAAAAGGAGAAATTATCTGTACTACTAATAATTTAAAAAATTTTGAAATTTTATTTTACCCTTATAAATAATTGTAAAGACCACTCAAAACTAACATCTCTCTCAAAATTATTTACATTGATTTACGTTACACCGTATCTTCAGACACGGATTACCCCTAATCTCTATATATAATGCATCTTTTTAACTCCTATAAAACTTTTTTGATCAACTATATTATCCTTAAAAAATATGTATCATTATTTTTTTAAAAAAAATTTAAAAATTTCATCAATCTAATATTATTTATATTATTTGCAAAGATAACATTATATATATATTTTCTTTTTTAAAGTGATCATAGGTTCGAATTTTTTTATAGTAGTTGTTCCAGTGAACTAAAAATTGTTGGAGAGACTAAAGTCTCACTCTCCCTCAATGGTCATTGGTTCGAATCTTTTTACAGTAGTAGTCGTTGTGAATCAAATTTTGTTGGAGGGACTGAATGTTTAGCTTGTCTTTGTGGTGCTGTGGTGATAGACTCAACTATCCGAAGTCAATCGTTATGATTCAAATCGAACATTTTACAACAAGTGGAAACCCCAATGTAACGTCATGAGGAATTGTTACATCTGATCATTCTTAACCATCATTTTTTATCAACCCAAAAAACAAAAAAATCAAGAGGACCCACTATTAAACCCTAACTTATCTATCGTCGAGATTTAGGCTAATTTAATGTAGATAAGGCAAACTACATCCAATAATCAAGATAAAGACATCCTTCTACAACTCTTCTTGTAAAACAATTGTTATGGCCAAATGCAAAGAACAAAAAAAAAAAAGATAAAAAAATAGTGAGAAATTGTCAAATTCAGGCTCAATCATACCAAGATTGAATCTGATAATATCAGTTTTTTTGTGGGGCAAGCAGAACAAGTGAAAAGGGACAAAAGATGAATA